TTTTCGTGTAATTTGATGCGAAGCAAGCGCGTATAGAGAATCTCAAACGTGCGGAAGAAGCAATAGATATTCAAATTGGCGTACAAGTGATGCTGTTTCTTCTCATATGACTCATTGAGGGTGTATTCCCGTGCCAAATTGAAATTGTCCTGGCCGGGGTGCTCCATCCACTTCAGTTCGGCCACGTCGAAAGTCTCGGTAGGGTCGGGAACAGGTGTCGATGGGACTAGAGCTGCATCTGGAGTGCCATCACGGCTGGCAGGATTGCTTCTACTTCCTTCTTTCTCTGTCCGATTGACCTTCTCGCTGCGACGCTCCAGAACGTCGCGCAAAAGGTCCATCTTCTTTCCATTAAGGCCCTTGCGACTACGAGGAGTCGAAGACTCTTCCGCAACCAAACTCTCATCATCAGCCTCATCGGTAGGAGAGGTTCCCGTGGAAAGCCCGTTCATGTACACGTGGAAGGTATCACGATCCATGCCAAAAAATACCGGGATAAAGTCCTTGATAAATGTCATAACCTTCTGGGGGTCGGCACCGAACCCAGCAGAGTTGCGGTCGATGAATGTCAGAAGCAAGTGAGTGGCGTCAATTAAGACTGCCGGATCATCAAAGGGGAGCTCAAACTGGTGTCTGGGGACCTGGAACCCGCTCTTGCGCAGATTTCTGCTCTCCTCAAACTTGTTTTGAATTTCATTTTGAATGTGTTTCGCCACAAATAGTTTCTTGTCCGTTCCCTTGCTAGCAATAGCTTGATGGTCAAGGCTCCGCCAATAGGCCTTCTGCATCTGCTCGCGCCAAATCTTATCCCATTCACGCTGACTAGCTTTCCACTCCTCGCATTTTTGCTTCAGGCGAAACAACACGATGGGTAGGACATGGCAGGGTCTCTCAAACATCTCGCGGATAATCTTGTCACCAAGCTGTCTGTCGTATATCTTCTTGATCACGCGTTGGTAGATCGCCTCGCTCTGGCCACCGAGGCCAGGAGGAAGCTTGAAAGCGGTCCTCTCCGCTTCGGACATAACGAGGAACTGCTGGACAATGGGCTCAATCAGCTGGATAGTGCGAGTGCAGGCCTCAATGTGATGGTCATAGTCATGTCTGTCTTCTTCGATACGGTGTAGTGCATCTTCATACTGATTCTTCCGGTGGGCCACGAAACCAGAATCTTCAGATGCCCAAGTGGGATGAGAAGCCCATTCATCGTTCAAAACACTATAGCACAACTGGTCACGGCCGCTGCAAGGCTTCTGACGCTCCCGCTTCGGAAGAAGGCGATAGCTAGGTCCCAAAGAGCGGCAATGGGAAAGATTGACTAGTCCGGGCTCTTGCTTTGGCTTGGACTCGACAATCTTGTCTTCAGGCTCTTCAACGTGCATAAACCGTTTGAACCACGCCATGAGTTCGGGGTTAGAGCCAATGTACCCAGCCGCCCGTTTTACAAGCACATGCCGGTCAATGAGATCAGTTGAGTAGAGATTACAAAGTTTGAGAAACTCGCTGAATGTCTGCTTGTTGCCAATGTATTTCTTAACACGATCGAAGAATGCGAATTCCTCTTGGGTCGGTGTAAGCGAGAACGTCGGTTGAATCGGCTCGGGCAGTGCAGGAACAAGAGTTGGCGAAACTGCCGGCGCTTCTGCTTGGGTCGGCTTTGTATGGTGAACCTTGGCTCTCTTGTTGGCATTGCCAGGCTGGAGGGTTGGTGGTCGGCCCCCCTGAACATCACCCATTCGTGCAGCATCAACACCTGCAGAAGGCCCAGAGAGTGATGGTCCCAGCGTCGATGGAGCTCCAGGTCCTGGTCGGCGCTTCTTCCCTTCTTTACCAGAGTCCTTAACATTGAACTGGCCAAGAGGTGGCATTTTGACATCACGGTTGGGGGTTTGAGATGGAAGAGCGTTAGCGCTGGGATAACCGGGCTCTCCACGCACATTGCTCATGGGAGCCGCCTCCTCTGCCTGACGCGCAGCGGCCTGTTGCTTCGCATGAGCAGCAGATTCAGGCAGAAATTGCTTAAAGTCTTCCAATAAATCCGGCGCGGTATTGAACAACTGAGTCACTTGAGCGTAGACATCCTGGATAGGCTTTGACTCGCGCTGGTATGTCTGTAAGATCTCAAGGAATTGTTTGTATATTTCAGGGGCACTCGCGAAGCGGTTCTATTTGAAGGGTAAATAACGACACCAAGGCGAAGGGTAAGCGGGGTGGGTAGGAACCAGAAGACTAACCTTGATCTTGTTGACATAGCTGATTGCGTGGTTGAACTCCACAGGTCCACGCTTCAGATCAGCCTGCGACGAGCCCTGAAGCATATTTGAGCCGACACCAGCCAGACTGCTCATAGGTTGCGTTAAGCTAGGGCCTTGTCCTGAAGCGGGGGACACCTGCATAAGGGAAGGGCGGCCTAGACCCGCGGAGGCAGCAGAAGCTGCACCCTGAAGCTGCGACACACCCCGCTGGTCCTGTCCATGAGCCATGGCTGCTGCACCCGCCGCTGCCTGCTGCTCCTGTTGTGTGGGGTAGTCGAAGTGATGGTCTTGAGGTTGACCCTGTCCACCTTGCTGCCCGAACATACCTGGACCCATCATGCGAGATCCGGGAGAGTAGGAGCCAGGAAGGTTGCTTTGTTGCTGCTGGGGCTGATGTTGCTGCCAGCCAGATCGAGATTGGTCAAAGAACTCGGGCCGATTATGAGGAGCCATCCCACCAGAGGGACCCAAGTCGCCAGATGAATCCATCGAGTGGCGTGGGCGCGGGGGCATGCTGATAGTGTTCGTACCAGAGGGGGTGGTCACTCTGATGACGTCTGGGTTGTCATCTGTCCCACATTCGATTCTATAACCAGGTGGCAGGAAGGTATTAAAGCCCTGAATGAGAGCAGGGTGACCGTTAAAGAGAGTAGAGACACGTTGAATGACTCCAGGTGTATCGATGCTATTTCAGTCACCGTTAGTGAGACACATTCAGTGAATACACTTGGATGACTAATACTCACGCTTGACTTTTGAAATCTTTCATTATGTCAAGGAAACGGTTATATACATCTGGCTGATCAACGAATCGCACCTTAACCTGATCCAAGTAGCTGAGTGCATCCTAAAAATGAGTAAGTTAATCTGCGCGTCTAGGTATGACAAGCTGAATATCGATATAAGCAAAGGAGGCTCACGTTTAAGATCGGCTGTTGACCCTGGGCAAGCGCAGCAACGTTCCCTGGAATCTGAGGCCCAGATCCGTTGAATCCCATCATGGGCTGTCCTGGTGGCCCAGCAGGGTGCTGCATGTATGACCTGGGAGTTCCCTCTCCATGTTGAATTTGCGGGCCATACATGGCACCGGGAGCGCCAGACGACTGCATAGACCCTTGGGGACCATTGGATGGATTCGAACCCAGGTTGGACAAAAGACCATTGGGGCCGTGTATGGAGTTCGGTACCTTCGACGCTACAGGCTGATGCAAAGGGATCGACCCCGTATGACTTTGCACCGGGTGGTGCTGCTGCTCCCGCTGTCGCTCTAGCTGCTGTCGCTCAAGTTGTTCACGCTCACGCTGTTCACGCTCTCTGTGGGCCATCTCTTCCTGACGCTGTCTTTCGATCAATTCGCGCTCTCTCGAGTCTAGCTCACGTTCTCTATTAATGGACTGAGGAGAAGGATGTTGCATCGCTTGGCCGATACCTGGTAGCGAGTGTCCTGCACTATGGGAGGGAGCAGAAGGGTGCTGTCCATAGGCAGGAGGTTGATGTGGGCCGGCATGGCCCTGGCTCAACTCTGCCAGCCCAGGAAGTGAGTGCCCTGCCGGTTGGCTCGCCGGATGATAGGGGCCTGGCGCAGCAGACAAAGTAAGTCAATAAACCAATACACACTGCAAGCATTATGGGAATGCGGCATGGAAGGGGGATCCTAACCAGCTGGTGGAAGAACGGGTCCGGCAGGCTGCGACGATGGGCCTTGTTGAGGCGGTGGGTTCTGACTATACAGGGACACAGCCGAATCAGTACGTTCCATTTCCGGAGTACAAACCTCAAGATCGCTCATGGGATCTGTCTGAGACCACTCACCTGAAAGAGCCTAGGGGGCGAGGTTGTTGGCTCATCTGATCCATCCCCGGGTGCGATGGCAGGCCGCCGGGGTGCCAGTTATCATTCCCAGAGGAGTTCATGATCTGTGCATGAATAGATCGCTAGAAATAGTCTCTGACTTTATATCTAACCAACAATAAAGTATAAGTCTGAAAGTGAGTTGTGGGGCCGCTGATAACTTCAGCCTAAGCTCTTAATCTGTTATTTCTTTTCGCACGGTTGAGTACTCTTTCTCCAAGTCATTTCACAGCAACATCACTGTGTTGGAGACTGTGTCAACCACACAAGCACAACACAGATAAAGTAATAACAAGTACAAGACCCAAAGGACCTATACCAGGAGGCAAACAGAGGGAATAAGGAGGTAAAAGAGACTGTTCAAGCCAGCAAGCGGCAGACTTGATTGGAAATGATGGTTTGCGCGCGACCGATCACGGCTCCTGCCAGAGAGAAGGCGGAGAGGGACTTTGACTACGCTAACCCCTTTTAATCTATAGTGCCTCTCTTCCGCACCATCCTTTTTCCGTAGTTTGCATTCACAGCGTGACAGACTGTTGATTGGCTCACGCAAAGGCGGGATCAGCAGTGCCAGGGACTGTCTTTTCAAGCCTTCGAGCCTTAAACCTCCGACGTCATTGACTGATAGATCCGGCCACATGTAGTCTGGATCCAGCAACTTCGGTCGTGCCAGACGTCCACTGCTCAATCAAATGACCGTCGCTAACTGTCTACTACAAAGTCCAAGGCATTGTTCCTTCTCTAAGGCCGTTTGAACTGTTTTAGACATTCCATTTTCTATTCCTTATCAATCGGTGCACGCACGACCTAGCATCGCGGGTGGATCTTCAAAGCAGTCACAGCTTTCGTCTGAAGGAGGTCAATCATACCCACAAGTAGACCCAACGGACAGCGTTGTTTCAAAACCCATAGATTCATTATCTACTCGGTAACCCTAGGTATCTAGACACCGAACCCAATTCAAGCCAAACCATCAAATTGTCCTGCTCTAGCAGTAGCCAATTCCAGAATTAGCCGGATCGGCAATATGATTAGGGCGAGGGTCCTTTGCTCCTCGTCACCGGATGAGTGTGTTGCACCCATGACTGTTCAATAGGTAGACAGAACTGGGCAAGAAACGGAAAGGATGCCCGTTGGGGCTCCACGTCTTTCTCTATGACATCCCATTATAACGCCCCCAAATGAATCATCAAAGAATCACCAAGTCCCACTGCGAATTGAAAGAATGAAACGGACACATCGTCAGAGCGTTAAAGTGGTGGAGAGTTAGAGGATAGGTTGGGTTGGCTCGCGGCGGCCAATGCACGGCCAAAATTCAGCAAAGGGATGGAAAAGGGTAGAAGGAAAATCTGAACCTGAACTGGCAACTTAAATTTTGGTACTGCGGATGCTGCTGCTAGTATCCTCTTTTCTGTTTTATACTTTGTTTCATGCATGTTTTGCCCGAAATTGACATCCTGTCCACTTATGAATATGAACCATCCTGTAGCGTACTTACAATGCAGAGAAAACAAAAAGCTTTTAGGTTCAACAACGTCAGCATATAGACAGCGATGGGACATTAATACGGTACAGAAGCCACTTACATTGTTAGTAGCAGCAATAGCAATACTATCCTCATAAGGATGCCAGCTCATGTGTAAGATCTTCTTGTTAAAGTCGATCTGATCTGCATCGGTCTCCTTCTTCATCCGGCTGCCAGGACCACCAGGGCTTCCAGCTCGGGTATTTCCCTTCTTGCCATTGGCACCCTTGTTCATCGGCGTTGGCACTCCAACCTTCTTTGCTTTGAACGCCGATTTATCCGCCTGTAGCACAATCTCGGTCTCCTTGGCAGGATCGGTAGGGTAGATCATAAAGTTGTTGTTGTAACTTCCAGTCATGACATTCTCTGCGTCTCCCGAGAAGACCACTTCGAACTTATCGAAGATACTGTCATTCTCATAAGTGTCACACAGGCGTGGCCGCAAATGTTCGTGGATAGGAATTGTCTTCACTGGTTGGCGCTCCATGTTGACATCCCAGATTTTAACAGTGAGGTAGTCCCTCGACACAATATAGCGACCATCATGCGAAAACCGTACGTCGGAAATCGAAGAGATAATCTCGGAGAAGAATGAGCGGGAGGAGGCATCCTCCTCTTGTTCGAAAACTGCACAGCAAAGAATACAGTTAGTCCGGTCCGGGCTTCAAGCACAATATTATCAGACACCTACGTTTATGGTGTTCATCACACAGGGCCCGCTGTCGCATGTCGGCAAGCTTGATTGTGCCTTTCGAGCTGGCGTACATAAACCAATTGCAGCTGGTCGGGTGGAATTCCGCAGCCGTAATAACTTCCGTCAGCTCCTCCATGTTTGCGGGTTTAATGTCGACAATGTTGAAGCTCTGGTCTTGAATATTAAGGTTCCACAAATTGATTCGGAGGTCATCACTACTAATAAAGGTTTCCCCGTCGCTGTTGACGGAGATGCTGTTTATGTGGTATGCGTGTGCATTTGCATACGTCCTTCGAGGCACGGCTGCCACAACGGTATCATGGTGTGTCATCCTGGGAAGCTTCAACATTGATGGATCCTTGAAAGACAAACGAGGGGCGCGAGGCGCCCCTCCACCCCCAACGCCTGCGGGCGTAAGCTCAGTCGAGAGGTTATTTTCTGCAACGACCTTCAACGACTTGTCGAACACCTTCCAGAGTTTTATCGTTTTGTCATTTGTCGAGAGAAGAAAATGAGACGAGTTTGATCGTCTGCACCACTTAATCTTGTTGATCTTCTCCTCGATCTCTAGTGATTTGAGATAGTCGAATTCTGGCTCGTGGGACTGGAACTCGGTGTGAAATTTATACTCGCATGTTTTTTTCTAGGCAATCGGTTAGGACCTTCTACCTGTGGAGAGTAATATTGCAGGAAAGTTTGTACCGTCTCATTCCGCTCAAACAATACTACTCTCCCACCCTTATCTCCTGTAGCAAGATAGTTTCCGGTATGATCGAACTCGACAGTAGAAATAATGTCCGCTAGAGGGTCAAGCCGTGTTAGCAACTATAAACTGAGACCCGCTAGCATGAAGGCGATGTTTCGGTATATCCAACTCTATGCGTTGAAGGTGCTATGCATACCTTCTGTAATATCTTCCACGTCGCCCTTATCACCAAAGCATCTATTAAAGCCAATTAGCACTTCCCTACAACCTCGGAGAGGCTGACCACTGCGACTGGAAAGGCCTTCCGGATCCTTGTGGCAGAGAGACCAGCGGGAAGGATGGTTACATCATCGGCGGGACAGCCTCCCAACAACCGCAGCAGGGGAGTCGGAGGGGCTAAACTCACTGTGTGAACTTCCAGGTAGGTGTACCTGGATCCCTGTCTACCATTTTCTTTCAATAAACCACCCTTTTCTGGGGCAGTTGGCCAACAGACAATACTCGTGGAGCAGTGGGTGGATCGGGATCAAAGAGCGGGGCCACCAGAGACTGGCGTCGTTACGGTAGGATAAGGAACAAGTCTTTTCCGCAAGTCGTCGTCTATGTAACTTTCCGCGACCAAGAGGATCGAAGGTGAGTACGATAACAAAGTGACCTCCAGTTCCGATGTAGGAGTGGAGATAAGAGAGGATGGGGTGGTGTCAGATAGGGCCGCAACGTCAGACAAGGCCGGAGCTGAGGCAGAGATCGATTTTAGTGAGTTGCAGGCTGAAGAAGACAAAGGATTGACAGCCTGTGCTGACGAAACCAGAAGGGCGGGGAACGATGGGAAGGATTTTGCAGTCCTTTTCTTCTCTGCACCGTCTCTAATTGATTTTCGTGGTTGTTGATCTTCTCTGCAAAAAGCGAAGAAAGGGCACCGATAAAGCAACCGCCACAGCCACAACCACAAACTAACCACCTTTGTCAAAAGGGAAGGGTAGTTGAGAAAGAAAGTGTGGGGGGAGATGTTGCAAAGACGGGATGGATGATGGGAGGAGGTAAGGTGTTTGGATTGAGGTGAGGGCGGTATTGGAAAGTACCGTCTGGTGGTGGTGGTTTGTGGTGGGGAGAAGATTGAGTGAGGGAGTGGCTGCCCGTGAACCCACGCAGCAACGCAACGACCCAACGCAACCCACCCGCACCACCAACTGGGCGCTGACATCAACACACTACACACTTCCGATGTACTCCTGCTTCTTTCTACCAGCGGGAATTCTACGGCGCAAGGTCTCTTAGTGCCTGTTCATACTCGGGTTCTCCAATTGTCTGTGGGAACCTTACATCACGAGAAGTTTAAGCCATTTGTCTCTGCTTAAAGAGTTGAGTACAGAATCTTCACCTTTGTGCCACCTTTTGGTCGAAAAGTGGATTCGCATTCTTTTTATGTCTATTGACCATACTTCCGATGCTGGTTTCGGCGTGAATCACCGTTTTGTATCACGTGATACTTGTAGAAGAATTTCATCTGCTACTGACCTCATCAACGAGGGAGTCTTTACTTCAACCTTACAAGGATGCATGTTTCTGTGTTTAAAAACTCACTATTTCTACGCCAGAAGCAGGAGTACAGCTCCATCATAAGAGTAGCATGCGCATAGTTACAGCTTTTATGGCTAATATGCCAGAGTACCTACATCCAGTATATGGACTGGAATATGAAAGCAATTGTGTCAACTACTGCAGCGCCAATTCATTACTAAATCACTAACACTAACAAGCGAACAGAATAGCATCGTTGTTCAAACAAAAATGACATGACTGGCTGCTATGTAGTAGGTTAGTAACTATACCATTCAGAACAGCCATACTAACTTTCTGTCTATATTTCCGTGAAATATATCTGAGGACCTCAGATTGCATCATCTGACAAAAAAGATGCAATGAGCAACGAGTGATATCATGATAAAACTGCGATTCTCTTGAAATGAACAAGTCCCAATTCCCGCCCAAGCACGCAAGACCAAGTATCAAATTTTATACACCGTGCCAACCCCATGCCAATCTTGGAGTTCGTTCCAGAACCGCGACTTAATATATACCACAGCGACTAATTTGATTCCCTATATTCCATACAAATTCTCCTACAGCAGGGTACTAAAAAGTTTAATCCAACATTATCCGTCATGTGATTTCCTTAGATCAGTAGTTCTCCGCTCCGTGTTACCTTGAGAATATCAGATTCATGCTCCTTCATCCCATTACATTATTCTGATTCCTGATCTATTTAGATCAAGACACGTGATTAATAGAGATACACCTGGGCAGTCCTGGACCTCGGGAGGAAGCTTACCTTTCCTAAAACAGTAATCCCTATCCACTAACAGAAGGCGGTGAATATTTTAGCCAATCAGGAGAGTCCTTGAAGAACCTCAAAGAGTTGACCTTCCGCCTGGGCCGCCTTGGTCTCTCAACTATACAACACAGAGTACTAGTAGTTAACTAGTAACCACTGTCTGGCAGCCAAAAAAAGGAGTTGATAGAGAAAGAAGGTCTGATTTTTCTGGATCATACTTGTTACCCTCCTGGACTATAGAACCACTTTCAAGTTCTTGTTCTTTTTCACCTTTAAACAATCGCTTTCTATATGATCATTTATGACAGCACTGAGCCTCTATCACACAGAATATGATATCCAGAAGAAAGGACAGAACTTAAGCCTCATTACACTAGAGAATCCACAGGTCCTTGTTTTACAGGTAAATTTGCGTGTGCAAGAGTTTTCTATGCGGTCCCCTGTTCCGGAATCCTAAGGGAAGTTTAAGACCACGGAGACACAAGATTTAAATGCCATGTATCACACCTGGTATCTATTGGTGTACGTAGGGGGTCTCTCACCTTTAAGGTGACCCTGAAGGCCCTCCAGGCTAGTTCTTTACACTGCCTACAACAAAGAAATTGGGAACAAATGATCAAGAATAAAGATATTGAGCACAAAGAGACTCGTCACATGCTATTTCTGTCCAACCCGACAAATCCCTTAAGCCGAACGGACAAGCTTAACTTCTTCCAGACCATATACTTTATCTGCAAACCATACACGATCGCCCATCTCTTCTACTGGACATTCCCCTCTCCCTCGATCCCCCCCCAAGAATTCTAACTCTGATAAACAACACTCAGTACCGCCCGTTTCACAATCCTTCCCGTCCCTCTCCAAACCACGACCCCACACTACAACCCGAATCATGACGGAAGACAAGAAGCGGGGCAACAACCATAGCAAT